CCACGATAGTACAGGACGCCGCGGGCAACCGCCATCTTGTCATTCACCACCACCTCCCGGCCGCAGCAGTCGCCCAACTTGCCGGCTTATCCACCGCTCCTGGCGCCATGGCGACGGGCACCTCGGCCACACTTAACGTCGCCGCAACTGCCACCCCCTCGGGCCTGGCCGCCCTGGGCGCGACGTCCTCGACGACGCCGACGATGACGATGACGACGGCGACGGCGACGGCGACGACGACGACAACGACGACGCCGGCACCTGCGCCCACACCGACGCCGACAACTGCCGCACAATTCTTTTACGTACAACCGGCCGCCGTGGCCGGTCAAAAGGTGGTCGGCCAAGTGTTGGGCCAACTCGTCACAAACCCGACCAAGACGTTCACCAACTCGATGTCAGCCAATCCGAATGTCACGCTGAGGAAGGCGATGGTAGCACAACCGGCCGACAACACATGCGCACAAACACAACAACAACATCACCAACATCACCACCACCACCAACAACAACAGCAGCAGCAGCAACAAATCATTCAGCTTCAGCATCATCATCAGCAGCATCACCTTCTACAGCAGTCTCAAGCTGCCTCACAACACCACCAACAACAACAACAACAACAGCAGCAACAGCAAATACTCCACCACCACCATCTCCAACATCCTCGGGTGTCAAGTCAGCAACTGATCGCCTTGCCCGCCCGGACTAGTGGAGAGGCGTCAGCGGCCTTTTTGAGTCTGAAACCGGCTCAGGCGAATCTGGTACAGCGAGGCCTGCCGCTCATCTTGGCCGGACCCGACGGACAAGTGGCGGGCCTGGCTACCACCGGCGCGGGCACATGCGCCACTCCGGCCGCCTCCCTGAGACAACAACAACAACAACAACAACAGCAGCAACAACAACAACAGCAGCAGCTGAACCAACGGCTTCATCAGAACGCACAGAAACCGCTGGAGTCGAGTCCGGGAAACGGCGCAGCCAACTCCGATCTCGTGTGCACCTGCCCCCCTGAACTGCACCAAGGTAAGTCCCTTGCCACCCAGTCCACCGAGACCGCGGGATTCTGACCTTTCATTGCGCCAAGGCCTAAATGGTACCTAATTCGGCTGGCCCTCTGTTGCACTGGTTGCATCCGGGGCCGATTTGTGAACACAAACATGGACAGATTTAAGCACGCAGAATTGGCTTTTTCATGCACTACCGAGCGGCATCAGTTACCGATGCTCTCGTGGCCTACTCACAGCGGAATTAAGTAGCAACTGGCATTCACGGCCGGACAGTGGAGCGGTGACAACGCCGATGAGGCCAGTCGAGACGAGGTCGAAATTGCACTCTGGTATGGAAGAGAAGACATTTTTTGGAGACAAAGTCAAGTCACTTGCAATGATTTTTTGCGGCCTGTTTGTATCATTGTGGAAACAACTCATCTGAGGCATCGAAGAAAGCTTTTTTGTGCCGAGTCGTTGATCCGATTGGCTCTAGAATGTGATACGACTCAGGAGAAACCCGGTTGTTGTCATCGGGCCTGAGAAGACGGATAGAAGTGACGCTGAAGAAAACGACTACTCTTTCTTGAGAATGCTGTCATTTGTCAGTTCCAATCCCCTTTACATGGTCCGTCGTTCGGCCATTTCGCAGTCCCTTCAGGAATGCTCTACACATTTCCCAACAAACATATTTTCTCTCTACAGTTGAAAGGATAGGCGAGGACATGGCTCAACGACCTTTTCGCCTTCCTCCCCAGCACCCTCTGTACCAAGTTTATGGTTTTGCAATTGAACGATACCAGAACAGGAAGTAGAGCATTGCACCACGTTTGCTAAAAGGTCAATCGGATAAAACACACATGTTACATCGGCACTTTAACTGCACAAGTTGATGTGCTTTCCAATGTTCATATCATCAATTTGCTTTTTTCTCTTGCTTTTCCGTGTAAATGAACAGAAGCCAATCTCGCCATTGCGGCAGACCACCAGATCACCATCACCAAGTGCTTGATGTACGTATCTTACGATTATTTATACTTCAGGCTATCACGCAAACTTCCTGTCAGTCGAGCTGTATCATAGCAGCTTCTTTCTGCTTGGTTGCCTAGGGCAATATGGGATTCGAAATTTGCACAAAAGTGCTTTGGAGGTGATTAAAAGTTGAATAATCAAATAATGCAGAAGCT